CATCTGCATATTGGACAGTGCGATTTAAAGCTAAACTCACAGTCAGCTACAAATAAAGTCCTTGAGAGACTATTTACGAATGTAAAACTAGTAAATATAATTTGACTGACGAAAACTCTGAATCAAAATTTTTTCAATTGAGTTTTCAACATCATAATTTTTCCCTAACAGTGAACATCATAAATGTTGAATATTTTCAGTGCTGGTAAATTTCAATTATTTGCATCGTCCAATTGTAACTGACCGCAAGTCGTAGAAGCCTTTTCGTTCGACACCACATAATGCACCGTTCGAGTTGGTCGGATGAAGCAAATGTTCCGGTTTACCCCATAAGAAACCTGAAATATAGCAAAATACTCGAGAATGTCCGAATCGAGCGCATAACGTCGAATAATTCGGTTGGTTTTTTTCTAAATTTTGCTACAAAACATTGGTGGAATTACTCTTAATGCTGCCACTCCTTTGTTATCATTGTATTATCAGTTAGAATATTAACAGTATTCGCATTCATTAAGATTGTGCCTGTTATGAGCAGTTCAGGTTGTTTTTTTTTTTTCAGATGACTTTTGAACAAATCAACAATTCATGAAAACCGATTCATCAATTATGTTGGATCAACAACCGTTCAAGATTTCGTCCTCAATCGTTCTGAAGATTTTTTCCCCCAAAAAATCATCGTTATTTCAAGTGAAAGACACCAAAAAATTTATTCTATGTGACAACTTTTCTAACAATAAGTTGTTTTTTTTTTTGCAAAATCAAGTTCATATTCTTCAAAAGAACAGCACTCGTCAACGAAAAGGCAAATTCCTTCGTCGTTTTCCAGTCTTCTTATTTAGAGGTGATCCTCTCTCAGAGGATGTTTTGAATGCGAGTGAAAAAACATCAAGTATCGTGCTGGGCGAATAGCATGAAAGTTTGATTCATTGAACAATGTTTGTGATTCATCAAATGACATCTGATGATTTTGAGGATAATTGAGCGTGTCATATTTGAACACTCATTAATCTCACTCCTAACAATGACCGCATATAATCCGATCAATTAAATTTTGTGCAATTTCGTGCATGAGGAACAAAATCAGTTCAATTCGTCCCATTTGACTGCTCGTTCTAGTTCGACAACTCAATTTCGACTGATTGCTCAAAACCTATATCACAGCTTGAATGAAATTAAATGATTCAAAAGCTCGTCATGAAGCCTTCGGAAGGGGAAATTTTGATGAGATAAAGCTGAGAAAAGTCCCGCTGACAATAAGCTATACTAATCTCGAAACTTGAGCAGTTTCGCTTTTTCTGAAGAATCAAAAATATTGTGGGAAATGCTACTCCAATGCCACACAATAAACTCACCCTGAAATGTCAAGAGATTTGCTCAATTTAGCGATCAAAATTTTTTGCAGCAAAACAAAATTGAAATAATTCTATGCAACTTACCAAAAGCAGCCACCACTAGCCATGCAACGACGAACACAACGAAGATGAAGCAGCACAGCACATCCGTACAATGCCTACGAGATTGCATCATTGGATGTAGGAATTTTTTTCGAATTCTTATAGAATCCATCTCAGCAGCATTGTTGCCTCTCTTGTGATGACTTCGAGCATCATCACCTTTACCGAATGATGATTTTGGGGTTTTAACGTCAAAACGTGCTGCATGACGTCCAACGAGCACCTTACCACGTGGGGGTAGCGGCGGTGGGAAGGCGGCTGTAGAAGCAGCACTACCAAAGGAATCCCGACTTGTCGCTGTATTTATTGTTTCTGGGGGCGTTTCATTCGGGGTCAACGGATTGTAAGGTGGAGGTGGTGAGCAGAACTCATTATGTTCATGATAAGGAAGATGCGATTGATGAATGTGACGACGATCACGAGAGGTTATCGGGGCTAGATGTGGGCCTGGATAGAGTCTCGAGCTTATGGGATGATCAAATGATGGCGCTGACGGGGATGGAAGTGGAAATCGCGGTCCGGGATGAAACGGCAATCTCGCAGGACTGGAGTTAGGGGGTGGCAGTGATTCCAGAGATTTGAGGGCAATTGATGTGAACGGTCCTTTGGTTGGGACGATTTTATTGCTTTGCTTTGCCTTACCCATGCCTTTTCGAGTGCCTCTCCTGTTCTACGCTCAGCATTTGGTTTCGTTTCGTTTGAATGAATGCTGCAACAATTGCTCTGAGATATGAATTCGGTTTTGAATAGTACCGAGCAGATCAGGTGCTTANGTTCTACGCTCAGCATTTGGTTTCGTTTCGTTTGAATGAATGCTGCAACAATTTCTCTGAGATATGAATTCGGTTTTGAATAGTACCGGGCAGATCAGGTGCTTAAGTAGCGTTTAGAAGAGATGAACAACACTGCGATGAAGGGTGAGATGATGTGCACAGGTGAGTACTTGGTCAATACATGAAATACTGTATAATCCATCAAAATGTTAATTTCAGCAAGCATATCAGAATACTTGTGAATACAACGACCAAACCACTCAAGAACTCTTTCGAATGAATCGAGCAATTTCACACACGGTTATCACCTAATTCAATTAATCGCAATGAACCTATCCACTGCACTTTATACGAATCAACAATCAAATCCTTGAAAATGACAAAACAACATTCGCAAATTGCATAATGACAGCTATGAAATGAATTTAAAGTAAAACAATGAATGCATAAATGCACGCAGAAAATCTCTCAAATCGTTTCGGATTTGGCAAATAAATTGAGAATATGGCTGATTATGATACCGAAAAAACACTCGAATATTTTTCGTCTCAATTAACAAATCGTTTTTTTTTTCACCTTGGTCACTGCTAATCTAGTTGAGCGTAGATTGAAGTTGATTGGAGAATTTTATTGGAGTGACGATGAGGCGAGGCAATGACACGAAGTGTGCCGTGAAAAACAATAGAATTTTATGCGCATGAGAAATTTCGATTTCGTTTTCACATCAAGTGTTGTTAACAATGTGACATCAAATTAATCATTTCTGTCAACGGAAAGCAATTTCATTTTCGCTGAGAGAGTGAACGCACATTCAGAGAAACTATCAATCAGAATCTATTGCTACTGAAACTTCTATTGGAGGCCATAAAATAGGGGAAAAAAAATTTTCGAAAACAACCAAAATCGTTGTGAACCAAAGCAATTCGATAGGTGATCAATTAAGACAGGAAAAACCGGACTAATTTAATAGCTAAATTCACTGATCAAGTTACGATGATTTGATCTCTCCGTGTTCTCTCTTTCTTTTTATTCGAATCTCACATTCGCTTCCTTTTGATTGATGAAATTCGCAGAAGTTCTTGTTTCAGGAAATACTTTCTCAACCAGGAATACTCTCACGGATATAAAATTTACTTCATTATGCGATACGGTAGATTCAAATCATAATCACTGTGAAATTCTATCAGAACAATAACCACAGGGATGTTCATCAAAAAATAACGAAACAAATACCGAAATACGTGACAAGGTGACATGTTGTCATAAATGAACAACGGCTCATCAATGGTATCAATTGCCGTGTCAAAAAAAGGTTATTCTTATTCATGTCATCATGAAATAAACGTAATTTTCCGATGGATGTTTCCAACAGCAATAATATCGCAGCGTGTCTGATCGATGCATGGATGAATGCATTATTCTATCGCAAAATCCAAAATCATTAAAATGTACTCACTCACGTTTTTCTTTGTACCAGTCAAATCGATTCTAAAGCGTTTCGCATCTTTGATTGGATGTGATGATATTTGGTTCATCGAATTCGCTCATTTTTATCAATAACCGGTTATAAATAGTATATTTGTTGTTATATTCTTGGTTAATACTTACATCATTCATTAAAATTAAAGTCATTATTACTGTCGTTTTTCGTTGTTGTTCTGCGGTTGAGCGCAAAATTTCGTATGTTCTAACAATAAGAAAGTTCTTCACATTCATTTCATTCTTCATTTGCATTGCATTTGTGAAATTTTTCAAAACCTTTTTGCTTTTAAATGCTATTCAAGCGTTATTCAATGCATTTGTATATGAGCTGCGTAATTCAGTGCACGAGTTTGAAACGAAACAACCTCACTGAGTAATATTTCAGTGTTAGTCAACGATGCGTAATGATATGCATAGTCATAACGTGTTGGTCAATGATATTCATAGTTACGAGGAAGCAGTTACCAAATATAAATAGACATGTTAGTCAACGGTGCGTAATGATATTCATAGTTATAACGAAGAAACACTCAATAGTTACCAAATATTAGCAATAGTGAAATCATTAACTCATTATGGCACTTACAAATACAAATGCAATCATCACTTGAGTTGTTGTGATCTATTCGTAACAAAAATAGTATGAAGCTGATTAA